CCCCCGCCCCTTCCCTGACTTATCTGCTGTGGTAGGCAGTGCTCTGCACACCATCTGGCTGCAATCCTGGCAACATGAAAGCTCCGTATTTGGGCGTGTGTGCCCCTCCCCACCTGCTACAGCCACCTGGAGCCTCCACCCGGGTTGCCCTGCAGCCCCGCATTTGAGGGGACTAAGCCCCACTTGCCCCAGCCTTCTGCTGCCTATGGCTGTGTGCCTGCTTGCCACATGTGTGCAGGTAAAATATAATTTTCATGGACTATTCATGGAACTACACGGACCCCTTTGCCAAGGTCAATGGTAGTTCCGTGAAAATTCTGTGAAAAATTATACTTTACCCACGTACATGCCGTGAATTTTCTACAAGAAATCCATGATTTTCTCAGAGCCCTAATTGTGGGTATTTCTTATGATTCTAGGCCTTAATGGTTGCTGCATGGGGCTGGGAAGGAATTTTTCCCTCCTCCCCCCTGCTCCATTGTTATACAGCATTTTTTTCCCCACTTTCCTTAGAAGCATTGGGTGCTGGCTACAGCCAAGGCTGGGGATCCTGACGGGTGTATCACTGCTCCTGGTGGGACTAAAACCCTCAGTTTCTCAGCTAGGTCTTGCCTCTCTGCACAGGGTCCAACTGATTGCTCAATTTCAGGGTCAGGAAGGAATTTCACCCCATGGTTAGATTGGTATGGATTGGGGGGGGCGTTGTAGCTCTGTAGGTTAGACATGGATTTGTTTGGGATGGTTTGGATAGAAATGATCCTGCCTCAGACAGGAGGTTGGGCTAGATGACCTCTAGAGGTCCCTTCTAGCCCTACTTTTCTATGATTCTATGAATATCACATTTCACAAGACACTTTCGAATCACAGCTATGGAAAGAAGAGGACTCATTACTAACCTCAGATTCTTCATAAGTGTAAAATCCTTTTACTATTTTATTTCTGTCAACATCACAAAATGCAGCTACCTGGTGAAAACAGAAAGAGGGGAGACAAAGGATTTAGTAAAGTTCTGTAATACAAGCAGATGTTTTGCTTCCTATTATTTTTATTTCCTCTAAGCTTTCTGATTGATCCTCTTCCTGCATTTTATGCAGCCTTCCACAAGAATCTGATCGTTTCCTTCCTTGCTAGTTGTGCTGAAATGAGTGCAGGTCCATGTGTTTAAATTATGGGCTATGAATCACGGTGGGCCACACTCACAGCAACTACTGTTGAGAACAACAAGCCCCATGAACCCTAATCCTGTGAAAACTTATTCGTATAAGCAGAGATAAGCACACATGAATGAGTGCAGAATTGTCACAGTTCTGGTTCTCCCCCTCACTTGGAGCTGCTTAATCATATTAAAAGAGAGCACATTAATGCCTTTCACAATGCATTTTCCTCAGTCAGGCCATACAGTTTGCCATGAGGAAGTTGTGTATCTATGAATGACAAAAGGGGTGGTCTTTGAGATTGGTGATGGGAGGGAAGGCATTCACAACACGTGTACTCTGCCTAAGCAGAACTGGTCAAAACATTTGCCTTTTAAGCTTTTTCCCCAGCAGGAAGTTGGGTCTTCAATGGACCATAAATTTGCAAGGGAACTGATTGCTTTCCTCAAAAAATACATACTATTTTTGATAAACAGTTTTTTTTATGGAATAAAACTTATTATGAGAAAGTCTGAGAACCTCTGGTGGGGTTATCATCAAATTCTAACCAGCACTCTCCAGTTTCTCTCTCTGAGACAGCCCCCTATATCTGTACAGATTGTGAAAGAAAAAACTCAACTGACATCTTCTGGAAAACATTTAACAAGAAGCGTGAGAGGCCTAGCTGAGAATGAAGATCTCTTTCCATTCCCTTCCTTGAAAAATAACTTTATTAAAAATTAATTAAAAGCAAGTTAGTGGTTCACTACACACAGATTCTCTAGTACTGTCCATAGAGACCAACATTTTGCCCAGACACACAGGCACTGGAATTATGAAAAATTCGCCTGAGAGAGTTAAGAAGATTTTCTGTGGCTGCACGTATGTGCACGCGCGCGCACACACACACACACACGTGCACACATGTAGAGCCACAAGAATATTAAAGGCAGAAGTAAATAAACATACCATCATATTATGATTTTAAAAGAAAGTAGCAGCGTGACTCAAGAGATCAGTACCACAAAGTATGGTATGGATCATGACTTAGCTAGGACGGTCTCAATTCTAGCTGGAAATGAACGTGGCCTTACATTCATTTGTAATGAGCAAGAAATAAAGGCAAATAACAAGGCTTTGAGCTAAAAAGACATTATGACCTGCCTAGAAGAACATAACCTCCCTTTTACATGCTGGATGAGCAACATCTGCATAATTATTTTTGTATGGAAGAACTGTGCAGCAAATAACTTTTGACTTCCCAGTGTGTAAATACACTGCACAAGCTTGGTGTGGCTCTAACCATATTCTATTAAATACCTAGGTACAGCAGAGCTGCATTAGTACCTGACAGCTCTCCTGTCAATATGGCACTGAATTCTTGACCCCAGTGTACCACTACCTGGTACCTCTATTCTTACCTCTGTTTTATAATGCTGCACCTCATTTCCATATGCTTGCACCTATATTTTACTTATGTACTTACCTGTAAACATTCTTTATAAAGTGAAAAATTCAGCAGGTTCAGTGTTTAAGCAGCACTGTAAACTACCACAGCAATATGTGCACTACTGTATTGAAATATTATTTATGGATACAAACTTGCCAAATATTTCAGATGCTTTATTTGCATTCTTCACAAATATGTCTGCAATCTCAGTTGTACAATGGTCCCTTTTTAAAGCATTCAGTGCCAATAACATTTTCCAGAGATTTTAAAACTTTCTTGTTTTTCTCTGGTTTCCACTGCCACTGTTCACATTACCCACTCTGGCCTGTGAGACCAAAGCAGAACATTTAGTTGCGACTATTTAGTTAAGGTCTTGTAGAAATCAATTATTTTATGGAGGGCTGGGTGGCATTTTTCCTACCCTCTTTATTTTTGCATTAAAAATTGATTAACAACAGTTAAAATCAAGAAAACTTGAAAATTCAAAGCAGCTGTTTTGCCATTTCTTAAGTTACATAATGCTGCAAAAGGCCAGGTTCCTTTCCTTTCAGTCATCACCTCCTCATTTTTTCCTCCTTTGATTCAGATAATATATTCCTTCACCTGGGGAGTGATTCTGCTCCCAGTAAAGACAATGGGAGTCTTTCCATTGACTTCAGAGGAAGTTGAATCAGTCTCCTGGCTGATTTAATCCATTCCTTACCTTTACTTCATTCTTGCTCTGAAGGCTAAAATTGATAAGGAATCAACCCAGGATCCTTCCACGTCAATGGCAAAATTCAGCCTGGGCACCTGGCACATTCAGCCAAACTCTGCCTCACCTTCAGTTACAAAATGAAAGGTGTGTCTAACATACAGCCTCTGAGGACGAAGGCCAGGTATCAGCCAGTGGGTCTTTTTCCAAGCCCTATGTGTAGTTATCCTCTCCTCAGCCCTTTCATTATAAAGCGATGTGTCAACATGGGTGAAAAAGTGAGAAATAATCAAGGGACAAAGTATTAGAAACATAGGTAGGTAATGAATCATGGGGAAATCAAAGTGGAAAAATATGGCTGAGCACTTGAAGGAAAAAATCTGTAATGCTCCATGGGAGGCAAATAGTCATACTTCGAAAACAGGACTGATAGGATGATAATGAGCAAATCAGATGAGAGTGAAAACTAATGCAGCTCTGATTTGCATGTGGGGAGGCACATCACAGTCCTGCTCCTAGGGGTTGTGAGTTCACACAGAATACAGCTCTCTGTACAAAAGAAGTGTTAACCAGTTGGAAGGAGTGCAAAATGTACAAAAAAGTAATTGATGAGTCGGTGAGAGTGCCACAGGTATACAGAATTTGTACAGAAATGTAGGTTGTGGGTGAATAGGATGTTATGATGTAATAACCACAAGCAAATTATCTGAACACAAACCTAATTGTTAACTTTATTGCTCTCCTTACATAGGTATAAATTAACATATATTTACCTCTGATTGCTGTCTCCCAGCTTCTTTATGTGGTAGAGTGACTAGAGTGTCAAATGTATATATTATTGGGGGGGGGGGGGCTA